TTTATCGCGAACTCATTTTGCAGACGCCATCTCGTCGTGTTTTGATCCTGGCCGGTTCGGATCTGTCGTTTCCCCGCCAGGACCATTGATTTCTGTGTCATGTAGGGACATCAGGTTCCGGTCCACCAAACGCATTTCACTTTTGATCTGTTATCATTGTTTATCTTTTCCACCAACCTGCAGAGTTTGTAGTACGGGACTTAAATTTTCCTCATAAAGGGCACAATCAGCTGGAGCAGATAGACAGTGAGCTAACGGCAGTTGCTACTCTTCTGAATACCTACTTTAGACAAAGATCCCCATCGTACATGAACGTTTGTTGACAGGAATTCAGTCAGCTAGCTAATCTTCACCTTTATTGTTTAGTACACTGCGCACTCCGTGCTGAACTACTAAACAGGTTTGGTTATCGTCTGATACACGAAGAAATACCTTAAGGACAAAATCTGTACGCTTAAGTGGTTTATGGTACCCAGGTTCTGTATTCGAGTCCCTGAGATGCAGCAGACAACCATTCGTGATGCTATTATATGCTCAAGATAAGCTTAATATATAATCTGCGCTGAATGCCCGCAGATTCACAGTTTGATGAGGCTTCAGAGCCAGAACTCTACTCAGTGATACACCACTGACAACACTATTTGACCACATCTGACCACTGATGAGGTTGTTAAACGGACCGGAAGAATGAGCAAAGGCAGAATTGTGTACAGAAAAGCATTTATCAACGGCTTGCGAGCAGGTATGGTGCCAACGCCACAACAATAACCACAACCAATAACATGGGGTCGGTGAATTGGCATACAGATCGGACAAAGCGTTCTGTAGAACATCCTCCATGGCAAAGTTGAGGATAAATGGGGATATAGCGTAGCCTTGTCGAACTCTACTGGAGACGACGAAGGGTGATGAAAGTTGGTCACGAACCCTAACCCGACCTGAGGTATGGCGATACAGCTCTTTGAAGATCGACACATACTTCTCAGGTACTCCATTCCTTAACAAACAGTTCCATAGTGCCGTCCTATCGATGGAGTCGAGGGCTGCGCGGATTTCTAAGGACAATGATCGTTGTTCTTTCATAGGTATGACGGTGCTCCGGCAACTGTCAGAAGGTGAAGATTTGATCGATGCATCCACGACCGGCGCGAAACCTTCTTCTCACGCATAGTGTACAATCGGCGGAGAATGACGGACGCGAACAGCTTCGACGCTATTGGGATAAGACTCGCCCTTGTAATTGGCGCAGTTACTGAGCGGGCCCTTTTAGAAGATGGGGACGACAATGGATCCCCCCCGCGCGAGGAGAGGGCCTCACCAATGTACCAGACTTTAGAGAACAGAGTCACCAATTCTCTATTAACCTTTATTCCACTATATTTAAATAGAACTAGATGGAGGCCAACAG